GTTCAAAAGAGCATAATTGTATCTTAATAGTATTTTGTACATTACAAATAAGCCAACACTCCGGCATGATCAATGATATCATAATATCATGGTTACTCGTGATCTAAGATAAATGATATCATAATATTACTATCAATTTAAGGTCAATAATGTCATAACAATAGGAAAATATATCTACAATGAAGTTAAATTATTATAATATTACTTTAAGAAGAGGGATAAAAGGACAATAATCCCTACGATCATCACATACTAAGTTCAGTTGATACTTCAAGCCAACCTTTAACAGCTCAATACACATACGACCACTTTTCATAAGATTTCTTGATTGTTCCTTTTTACACATTTATTCTTTCTGAAAGATTTCTTAGCCCTCTTGAATAGTTCTATTATAACTATATCCTTTACAACTTTTCTTTCATGTCTTTCAACTACCGTGATAATAATACTGCTTATATTTCCTGTTTGATCGAGTTTACTATAAGAAATAGTAAATCTAACTTTCGGAAGATTTTTACTTCCTCTTTAAGTTGTATGGACTTTCAGTTTTCTACATCTGAAGATATTGTTGATATGGATGAACTACTATGTCAATTGGTATGCAATGTTGGCGACTTACTTCCAGAGCCTACTGAAGGCTCAGTTGGAGTTTGTACAGGATCACTTTGTGATTTTGAAGGAAGTATTGGTATAAAAATCACAGTAAGCAATGTGAACGAGTAAGTTAAAGTATTTTTCATTTCCTCAGATATGAATGCTTTCTATTCAAAGAAGCTTTACTATTTAAGCTAATTAATAAAACAGATTTCCAGGGAATCCTACTGAGTCAGAGTTCAATAGTCATGCACCACCGATGGTACCAGCAAATATATTCATCGTCGGAAAGACTGTGGAAAGTCATAGAGCTTTATCAGTTACTAGTAGTTCTTTAGAACCTAGAGGATGGAGAAGTTTCGATATTAGGACTGGGTCTTATGATTGGGAATCACGAGCCCGAAAGTCCTTTACAATTCGGTGTTTCTTAAAGGATCATCCCCGATGGCAAAGATTTAATATTCCTGATATTAATGATTTGGTCCAAATTCAGGGAAGACTAATTGGAAGACTTAAACATAAGGATACTCGGTTTCAATATCTCTGTTGTCGTATTGAAGACTTTTCTGTCTTTGGTTCTCAACCAAAGTCTGACAGGCCGAGTATGTCAGGTACTGCTCACGATGATATCTCTCAGACTAAGAAGGGACTAGCAGCTGGCACTACCCAATCTCTTCAACCAAAAGGCTGGACTGCCCGATCGAAATCTCGCATCATACAGCAAAACTCAGTCTCTAAGTCTCATCCCTTAAGCGATACTTCCTCTTCATCACCCCAGCCTCTTTCTCCATCTTTACCGATTGGTCACAATAATAATCTCTCTCCACCACCAAAGCGATCATATACCCAAGCCTTCAGTTCTGCGAATGATGATGGCCTTTACACTCCTCCAATGATTCCTTCCAATAATCCTCAAGTTCGCTCTCCAATTACTTCTAGCCAACCAGAATCGCCAATCCTCCATTCTCAAGTCATATCCGATCATGACTATATTCCTTCTTCACAATTAGAGTCTTCCGATGGACCACCCCGACGATCAAATCGGCCTCGAAAACCTAACTCAAAGTTTTTTCATTAATAATTAAATTTTAATGGTCTGTTGTATAATTATTCATTTTCATACATAATATTTTCTTCCTTTATATTTTTCACATATGATATTCCATAATATTATTTTCTATCTTCTATTCTTTATTCAAATAAAGTTTTTTGCTTTCTTATTCTCTTATTTCTACTCTAATATATACTTAAATTAGTATATTACTTTCTTAATTGTCCAAATCACTATTCCAGTTTCTACTTAAACTTATATATTAAAAGATGTTTTACTATTATATATTTTGAAGTTATAATATTATCTATTTCATTAATTATACCAGTATTTAAAAACTATATGAATCATTTCCACTTATAGCAAAATACTCACACTTCCCACTCAAGGAAGAATATATACGGATTATAGTTCTTCGATCTAATTAGACTGGTTACATTTAATATTGGTTGTATGAGATAGCTGTGAAAGAGAACCGAACATATAAAGACAGGTTCATGCCCACCTTTCATGCAGATTGAATCAAACCTTCATATTGGTTATCAAGTCACTATAAAGTTTAAAAGGCTTGCCAGCCTAAATCAATCATTTCAGTATATATTTAAACCAGCTACTTTACTTAGAGAGACTACTAACTATATATTATAGAAATACGGTACTCGTTGAAGTTCTTACTACAATGCCACCTACGAGAAATCTACGAACCTGGGCCGAAATTGCCGAAGCAAACCAAGCTCTAATCACATGACGAAGACAACGGCTGTACGACTCCCAGAACAACTCCCTTCCTCAAACAAATACTATTGATTCAAGATCTCATCAGAGTAAGTACTTTCACTTAGTTATATGATATATTTTCACAATAAATTACCTCCTTAAATGATATATTCTTCTGAAAAAACACTAAGAAGTTAATTAGGTTCAGAATGGTGGAATATAGTACCAATATTAGCTATTCAACAGTTGATTAATAATTGGAGCCATACATGCTCCTGGTGTGGAGCTGATCTGTTAACTACAGAGGCAAATGGTTGGTGTTGTACTAAAGGAAAATATATCGTTCCAGCATTGCCACCTTATTCTTCCAAACTGAATCGAACGATTGACTCTAATCAAAACCTACTGGGATCCCAATCGCGCCATTTGAATAGCATCTTTGCATTCACTTCAATTGGTGTTACTGGTGGCTTTCGCCAATTACCAATACCTTCGAATGTGGCAATAACTGGTCGTATTTACCACCAGTTACACGATATGGCCCAGGGAAGCCAATCACTCCGATGGTTTCTGTATGACGAGCAAGGACACAATAGAGTAGCTACAGAACAAGGAATCTCCTCTGAGTTGGTAACGAAATGTCATCACGAGCTAGTTACCCGAAATCCTTTTATTGCTCAACTTCAACACTCCTTCAATTCCAGGATGACCCAAACTCTTACTGTGGAATTGCGAGCTTCATCAACTGGTGGTGATATTGCAGCACTTATTCATGGCAACAATCTTCATCAAGTCAATCATCGAAGCATTCTCATACACTATAATGGAAGCTTAACTCAACACAAAATCGATATTCTTTCACCTTTTTATGAGCCTTTGCAATATCCGATATTCTTTCCAGAAGGGACACTAGGCTGGTCACCAGATGCTCCAATGAGTCAAATCCGATGGTATCGAGGACTTCTCACAACTGAGAAACGATTTCTACAGTTTGGTCGTCTAACTCGCGAGTATTTAGTGGATATGTATTCTCATGTTGAAGATGAGCGACTATCCTATATTCGACGAGCTTTACAACAGCAAATGAATCAAGGTCAAGAATTTCGACAACAAGATTCTCAAAACCAGCATCGACATAACCATCTGGAATCATATTCAAATCGAGGAATTGTACTTCCTGCATCTTTTCTAGGGTCTTGAGCTTGGGCTGCCTCAGAAGTAGCAGATTCATTAGCACTTTGTCGCTCAAAAGGAAAACCATCCTTTTTTATTACAATTACAACAAATCCAAATTGGCCTGAGATTCAGCAAAAGCTTGCTCCTGGGCAAACTGCCTCAGATATACCAGTTATTGTTTGTCGTGTTTTTAAAGCACGATTAGAAATGGCTATTAAAGCTATACGAAAACATCTCGGCAAGATTGTATACCTTATTTGAGTGGTTGAATTTCAAAAACGAGGTCTTCCTCATGCCCATCTTGTAGTTAAGGTATGTAAATTTCAGATTTTTAACCTGTCAAAGTCTACTATTCTGCATTCGAATTTAAGTTTCCCATATATAAAGTCTGTCAGTAATTAATAGTTATTTTCTCCATTTAGACACATCCAGAACTGCCCTTCGAAAAAGTGGATCAACTGATATCTGCACAAACGCCTGACCCGAATACCGACCGAGAATTACATCACATTATTACTCGATTTAACTGCCATCCGACAATGCACCTCTCGATATCCTATAGCCGATGTAATCGCAATGGATCTTGTGTATGGGGGTTTTCTAAAAACCTACAACCTTCAACAACTTTAAACAACCATGGCCGAGTATGCTATAAGCATATTAAGGAGGAGGATCGCTATGTTGTATCATATATGCCTTTTCTTAGCAGATTGCTTGAATGATATGTAAATGTTGATATTTGTTTTACTGTCAATGTTTTTATGTATTTGTATAAGTATCTTTTTAAAGGGCCTGATCGGACACTTTTCAACATTATGTCAGATGAATTTCATGATGAAATTGCTGACTATATTGATGCCCGATATCTCTCAGCTTCTGAAGCAGCCTGGCGAATTCTCGAACACAACATCTCAAGAAAGGAACCCTCAGTCAAAGTATTATCTATTCATCTTCCTAACCAGCATCTCTCTCAAATGGATCGGGCGAATAATAGTCAATCGGCAGCTACAACACTTCTTTGCTACTTCACCAGACCCCGAATCCTAAGTCTCAAAACCCTTCTCTATACCGAGTATTATGAAAGATACTGTCTATATCCAATGGCCTCAAACACGACACAAAATTCAGCAAGTCTGCGTCCTGATGATCTCTTAGAGATACCAGATCAGCAATTTCCACAGTAAATCATTCGGGTACGATCACGTGGTGAGGTTGTTGCCCGAATTCGTACTGTTCCTCCACGAACTGGTGAATTGTTCTACCTTCGTGCTTTGCTCTTACACAAACCCGCTATCAGTTTTGAAGACCTCCGATCTGTGGGAAATACGATCTATACCACATTCCAAGAAGCTGCTTCTGCTTTAGGCCTATTCCAAAATTCAAACGAGGCGCAACTAGTTTTGGCTGAAGCTAGCGATAATTTCGCCTCCCCCCATCAGCTTCGATTCCTCTTCTGCCAGTTACTTTTAAATTTTCCTACAAATGCCATTACACTCTTTGATCTCTATCAAGAGCAGTTAATAGCTGACTATCTAGATCAATTTCGCAGTGCTGAGCTCGCTACAGATTTTGCTCTTAGTAACCTTGAAAGATATTTGAACAGTCAAGGTTCAAAATTAGCTGATTTTGGCTTACCTCAACCTGAGTAGTACACATCATTGCTACTACTTGAGCAAGCCAGCAGCTCTAGTCAATATACTTATCTTACTTCGAAATACCAAGAGGACGAATTATCGCTTTCAAATGAACAACTCGATATATACTATACTATTTTGGAGTCTTTCTATACACTATCAGTTGATCGAAGACAGACTTGCTTTTTTATTAAAGGCAAGGCTGGTTGTGGCAAGAGTTATACAGCAAATGTATTGGTTAATAGGCTTCGGAGTGAGGGATATATTGTGTTAGTTGTAGGCTCGACTGCATTGAGTGTTACTCAATATGACCGGGGACGAACTGCCTATTCGGCTTTTGGTATTCCAGTTACTGAGGTATAGTCATTATTCACTTTACTTTTGTTCTTTTATTACTTTTATATAAGGTGTTTAATTTATTATTTAACTATTATAAAAAATATGAAATAGTACTATCAAGTTACCCAAACTGGATTATTGAGGCTAATATTCAAATTGTTAACCTACAGAATCATATGGAGATACAGTCCAGAATTGGGCCACATTCAGACCATGAACAGTTCCTACGAAATGTCAATATCATATTTTGGGAGGAGTTACTAATGTCAAATCAAGCTGCTATCGAATGTACAAATGCTTTACTACAACTCTTAATAGGTAGTACCAAGCCATTTGGTGGAAAGATTGTTATAGGACTTGGGGACTTTTGTCAAGTAGCTCCAGTAGTAAAGAATGGTGGTCCAACATCAGCAAAAATTTACTCTTGCGTCCTGTGCGTCCTGTGCGTCTGAGGCACAGGACGCACAGGACGCAAACCGTTAATCAGGACGTCGGCTAAATCCGTTCTTGCGTCCTGACGTTCGCATCCGCACGCTCCTGCATCCTGACGCTCACCGGACGCGCGGCACTCCAACCCCCCTGCGTTGTGACCCTTGCTAGCTCGGTTCCGGGCGTCCTGGCAATCCATGCCCTTTCCCCCCTAGCGTCCCGACGCCCCTACTACTCCTGCCTGGCGTCCTCACGCCCTTACTACTCCCGGCCGCCGTCCAGACACCTCTGGACCTCCTGCCCACCGTCCTGACGCCCCTGCAAGTCCCGCCCGGCGTTTCGGCCATCCGGGCACGCCTGCTTTGCGTCCGGAGAATCTCTGCTGCTTCTGCCTCTCGCCGTGACGCTCATCAACCCTCCCCCCGCGTTCCAATCCTGTCCGTGTAAAGCCAGTTCTGTTTGGATGACTTAATCTATATCGCTTGCCTCCCACCGCATGTCTCGTCCGCTATCCTCCTCCTAAGTTCCTGTCCCTGCTCCTGTGTCTCATGACTTCGAAGAACTACTCCCGTGTGCCCCGAGTCCTACATTACCCACCTCTTCCATCCTGATTTTACACTTTCAATTGACGTCGTCGGGATTTTCTAGCCGTAATTGGAACGTACTCCATATGTTCTGGGACTTTCGGTCACCATATCCGATTACAATTTGGTCTCGATATGTGCTGCAAATACTCTATTTACTATCGTACGGCGTCACATTGGCCTGCCATTTTAATCTATTGAGTACACTAGGCGCTATTGAAGCTTGCGATCCCACCGGCACCGCCGGTACCCATATGCGCCCCGTCGAGCCCACTCTCGATCCTGGTCCCACCGACCTGTTGCCTCCTCTCTCTCAATCAAAATTCCCTTCCTGCTGTCCATCTATAGCCGTCACCTGCCCCGACTGTGAATCATCCAGACTAAGCGAGACGCGAGATGAAATACATGGACTGCCCACGCTCCCCAACGTCAGACGTCCCGTGTGTTCCGGTGTATCTTCTAGACTATCCTGTTCAAAATCATGAAAGCCAAGAGATCGTCCAAT